GCGAAAACAAACTATTGAAAAGTGGAGTTAGAAAATGGATGGAGCATAAGCCCAGGGAAGAGCACACTTGCTGGCTCTTAAACGGAAAGAACTGGATGTAAACGCAAGCTTCACGTTGCAATGTTGAAGAATTCTAAGGGAAAACCATGGCTGATAAAGCCAAAAGCCAGTGATGAAGAAGACCCGAAAAAAGGTAAGTCGACATGGTGTCAGCAATAACGGACCCTCACGTGACCACTGTAGTGAGGCAGCCCAGGGCCAGGAGTTCTCTCGGAATTCACACCCGGAAAGAGTTTCAGCCCATTCCTTCTAAAGTCACCCACAATCACTCAGAACTTCTTAGAGAAGGAAGAGAGAGAGATAAAGAAAAAGAAAGAAAGAATAGAGGAAGAAGGAATGAGGAGACCCTGCTGGCCTTACAGAAAAAAAAGAATAACAGATCAAAACACAGAGCATGAGCAAGAGTTGAGGGACCAACTGAAGCCTCGTCTAAAAGACAGGACAAAAAAAGTCACTGAGACAAACAAACTCACTGCCAGAGTCAATTGTGACTCATAGTGAGCCCATAGGGCAAGATAGAACTGCCCTTGTGGTTTCTGAGACTCAACTCTTTTTTTGTTTAAATCATTTTATTGGGGGCTGGTCCAACTCTTATCACAATCCATACATACATACATTGTGTCAAGCACATTTGTACATTTGTTTCCATTATCCTCAAAAACATTTGCTTTCCACTTGAGCCCTTGGTATCAGCTCCTCATTTTCCCCCTCCCTCCCTAAACCCCTCCCTCACGAACCCTTGATAATTTATAAATTATTATTATTTTGTCAAGTCTTACACTGTCCAACGTCTTCCTTCACCTAATTTTCTGTTGTCCATACTCCAGGGAGGAAGTTATATGTAGATCCTTGTGATTGGTTCCCCCTTTCCTACCCCACCTTCCCTCCACCCTCCTAGTATCACTACTCTCATCACTGGTCCTGAAGGAATCATCTGTTCTGGATTCCCTGTATTTCCAGTCCTATCAGTACCAGTGTACATCCTCGGGTCTAGCCAGGCTTGCAAGGTGGAATTGGGACCATGATAGTGGGGGGAGGAAGCATTAAAAAACGAGAGGAAAGTTGTATATTTCATCATTGCTACACTGCACCTGACTGGCTCATCTCCTCCCTGCCACCCTTCTGTAAGGGGATATCCAGTTGCCTACAGATGGGCTTTGGGTCCCCACTCTGCACTCCCCTCATTCACAATGATGTGATTTTTTTGTTCTTTGATGCCTCATACCTGATCACTTCGACACCCTGTGATCACACAGGCTGGTGTGCTTCTTCCATGTGGGCTTTGTTGCTTCTCCGCTAGATGGCCGGTTGTTTATCTTCAAGGCTTTAAGACCCCAGACACTATATCTTTTGATAGCCAGGCACCATCAGCTTTCTTCACCGCATTTGCTTATGCACCCTCTTTGTGAGACTCAACCCTTTACCTGGATAGAAAACCTTGTCTTTTTCCAGCAGAGCAGCTCGTGGTTTTGAACGACTGGCTTTGCAGTTAGCATCCCAACTCATAACCACTATGTCACCAGGGCCCCTTCGGTTTTAGCCAGACTCAAACTCACTGCCATGGAGTCAATGCTGACTCACAGCGACCCCCTGTGGGTTTACAGGGGTAGAATGCCCAGCGTTTCTCCCACAGAGCTGCAGGTGGTTCTGGATTGCAGCCCGATGAATAACCACTACATTATCAGGGCTCCGCCACTTTTAAAGGCAGAGACTACTTTGAGTCTGATGGTGAGAATACCAAAAGGCAATTGCCCTTCGCCCACCCCCCTCCTGCCCCCTCCCGAGAACACACACTCCTTCCCAACCCTCACCCTTCAGGCCTAACTCCCTGCCATGTTCTCTGGACCAAAAAAAACCATGGGATAGTATTGTCCTCTACAAACAAAATTTCAAAATCAGTGATCCATTTGGGCCTCTTGGCCAAGTCCTCAATTTGGGAATGCAGTCAGAGGAACAGAACTGAGTTCCAAGGAGGAAAATGGAGGGAAGCCAAGCACATGGAGTTCGGGATCAAGGAGCAGAGTCACTGCTTTTGCATGAATGGCTCTTGCCTGTCCCTGGGATGCATTTTTAATGCAGTGATGACAGCTTCCCAGTGGCCCCTGGCAGCATCTCAACAACTCCAGGGACGAGGGAGAAGGTGGGGCTTATTAGGGCACTGTTTTCCCAGCAAGCTTGAGGGTGATTAGCACAAATCACAAGCTTGTAGGTAGTGTGAGGGGTGCCCCTGAAGCAGCCTCTGGCTTATTAAGAGTGAGGTCCAGATGCTGGAATTCCCAGTGACCCAGGAAAAGGACACCGGCTGACAGTATTAGGATGGAGCTCACGGAAGAGCTGCAGAGAAGAGAAAGCCGGTGGTCACTCTTCAAACCCGCAACGCTGACCTCCGGGGAGGCTCTACGCTGTGGTGAGAACGAGGCGGAGGACCTTGACATACTGCTGCTTTCTTTCACGTGGGTGGGTACCCCCGCCTCACCGAATCCCCTTGCTGGCAGGGCCAAGGAATTCCAAGTCCCCACCTCCCACCCCCAGCTCCCCTTCTGATCCAGTTTTTGAAGTTTCCTTGTTTAGAAACCTATCTCTCTAGCCCTGGGATATTGTGGTAAGGCTCAACAGGGTTGTGTGTTAGGGGGTGGGCCCACAGTCTGGTTTCTCTATTCCCTTCCAAGTCCATAAAAGCAAACAGGACCACTAGTTGAGGGAAGCAATCAGTGGGTTTAAGGCTGTAGGGGAGGGAGGGGGGATGGGTTTGGAGTTATGTGATCAGGATTCATTGCTTCAATTAAATATTCAGCCCAACACTCGGGCATCTTTGGAGCTTAGAAACCTTGGACGCTGTGGTTCACTTGGCTAAGGGGGCCCTAAACGTTTATTCAGTCAAATTAGCCAACTTTGGAAGGCAGCATCTTTCTTCCAGAGCTCTTTCGAGTTCCCACTGTCACACAATGTAAAACTTGGGTTTAAAGGTGAGGATGCCTGCGGTTTGAGGGGGCAGTATTTTTCTTTGCTTCCTATAAAAGGGCACTTAAAGAAAAAAAAGACTTTTGATCAGTAGCATCCTAGTCTTGAGGTCTCCAGAGGAAACCTGCTGGGAGTGACAGTCAGGACTGGTCTCCCATGGGCCTGGCAATATCACCACCTACTGCTGGCTCAGGGAGTTTGAAGCTCCGAGGGGATTCTTCCTCTGGAAAGCAGGGAACATTACTGTCCTGATTTATTTTTCTTCTAAGAACGCGCCTCAAGGCATCCATTTCCCTTAGGATCCAAGTTGGGCTTCTAGTTTGGCTGGTAGCTCCAGGAGTCTGTGGGTGGCACAAGTGGTTAAGTGCTCAGCTAACAACTGTGAGGTGGACAGTTAAAATCCACCCAGAGGCACCTTTGAAAAAAGCTCTGGCAATCCATTTCTGAAAGATCACACAGCCCTGGGAAACCCTGTGCAGCGGGGTTCTACACACACACACACACACACAGAGTTGCCAGGAGTGGGATTCAATCCCAGTACCACGGATGGTGCTTTGGGTTTGATTTGTTTTGATAGCTTCCTGCAGGCAATTCCAAACGTGTGTGGTCACCTACAGGGTGCTGCTTGCCTGACAACTGCTGCACTGAAGAAACAAACTCTAAGTGTCTCTCCAAGACGCGAAAGGAAACTTATGGTTACACTGCCATTGACCTGAAGCACTATTTATTCAGTTGGAATGATGTCACCCAAAATGGGCTTGTCAGCTCTCCATTCTCTCCTGACGGCACTGAGTGCAACCCGGCAGCAGAGTTCGGAGCGGTTCCCCAGAAGACAGAAATTTGAAAGATGCTATTAAAATCAAAAATCCATAGCCCTGGAAAAACCCGATGCAGATCTCTGGCACACTTACCAGAGCCTGTGGTCCTGACCCTGTGGTACTTGATTTTTTTTTTTTTTAAAGGCCTCTGATTTGCTTGCCAAATAGGCATATCTTGGCTTCCTTGGCCTTGTGGGAATACTGCCTTGGTATTAAATATTCAAAGCAAAGACCTCTGACCGAAGGGCTCTCAGCTAACAATGACATTCTCTGTAAGTAAACTAGGAGCCTGACTTCGCTTCTGGTTTGTCAGTGTTTTCTGCCTTGTACTAGGCTACTGTACAAACAGGGCTGGCGAGGGACTCCCTTTTGCCATGCTTACACTGCAAAAGACCCTGCACTGCGTCGGGGAGGGGGCCACTGGTCTATGCAAAGCTGGGTCTGGCAGAAGCTGGGCTGGCCTGGGCCGGGGAAAGGCAGAAGCCTCCAGCCTCACCAGAGGGAGACTCGAGAACGTTTTTTTTTCCTTAAGCCGTGGGAACACTAGTTAAAAGAATGCTGCTCCGCTTCCATCATCCACCTGCAAACTTCTTTCACTTTGCATCTCAACTAACTACCTGAGATCAGTTACAGAGCCCAGGTCTGGGTCCTCCAAAAACAAGTCCCGTTATCTCTGGGTAAAGGAGACCGAGATCAGATAAGGGAGCCCGGTACCTTTTGGCGGTAAAGTCCTGGCCGAAGTCTCCTCTCCCTTCTGTTCAAGTTTCTTCTCATCTCTCACCGAATCTGTAGGAGACCAGCGTAACCCAAGAAGCTCTCGCCTCTGGCTTGCGGCTCGGCTTGGAGTCAGCTGTCCCGTGGGCACGTCTCCCTTACGTGGGCGCCCAGAAAGTTCACCTGGCCACAACTGAGTGCGACAACACGTGTCATTTCTCAGCTCGCGGTCGCTCTGGTGGATTACCGGGAGCCAGAGCTGGGTTCGGTGCTGAGAAGTTGAGAGGGCAACTCCAAATACGTTACCTACTTTCCTTTTAGGGCGCTCCCCTGCCAAGGGCTCACACAAGGCAAACAAACAAAAAAACTGGCCATGCGCGCCCCAACTTTAATCCAGCCTGGCCCGCCGCGTCCCCGGGGTCGCACCTGGAGGGCAGTGACTCTTACCAGAAAAGTCCGTGAGCGCGGCGATCTCTCTGGAGCAGACCAGGACAGTGCAGTAGAAAAGGCGCAGGAGCTGCCCCGGAGGCTCTACCTGCCTGCGGAGGCTGGGATGCTGAGCGGGCAGGGGCCCCGGAGACCGGCGCTCGAGTCCCCGCAGAAGCATGTTGCGGGGTGCGCGGGGCGTTGCCGGGCGGAGGGCAACGTCACATGGCGGGGCAGGTCATGCTCTTGTGGCTCCGTGACTTCCCTCCGGCTCCTCGCGGAGTGGCCCCGTACCTCTCACCGGCTCGGCCAGTTGGGGCTCCCCAAGCCAGGGGCGGGGGCGGGGAGCCGGGGCGGGGCGAGGAGTCCCGGCAAGGATCCGCGTCGTTTCCCCGGGGAAGGAAGCTCAGCCGAAGGAAGCTCGGCCGCCCGGCGCGAGAGGAAACCAGGAGGGCAAAAGGGAAGGAGTAGCCTTCGTGCCCCGCGACTGCCCAGGCGGGTCTCTGGCGCGCTGCCCACCGCGGAGGGTGCCCCCCGCAGCACGCGGACGG